CAGAAAGAAAGGTAATAATTAGTTAATTGTCTTTTATCACTTCACAAAATTGTGGCTTTGGAATAAAGTTGATAAATGTTACGTCGTCCCAAATAAATTAATTTGTCTCATTGAATGAATCAAATTCTCTATCAAATGATCTGTACCAAAGTGAAGCCAGTCACAGATTTGGATTGATGAACATTCAGAATTGATGGGTCTGGCTTTATATAAAGTAAATCCTGAAAATCAATAAATAACACGAACTCATTGTAAGTTATTCAAATCAATAATTAATCACATTTTCGAATTTAAAGAGAACAAACAAAGCGAAGGGAAACATAATCTCAACGAAACACAATTTCCGGTTGACCTCATCTGAGACTGGGACATCATCAAACGTCCAATCCGAGTCTGAGAAGTAACGTGATCCCAATCTGAGACTGGGAAATCATCAAACGTCCAATCCGAGTTTGAGAAGTAATTTGATCCAAATCTTAGACTGGGCGGGAAATCATAAAACTTTCAATCCGAGGCTGTGAAGTATTGTGAGATTTGAGGCTGTGTCTGAGAGTTGATATAAATGTGTTTTTTGCAAGCTACATCTTAAAAATAAAACAGTAATATTGACGTTTGATTCGAGGCATGATGCGTGGAGAGGTGAATCGGGAAATTTTGTGTTGCGTTGGGATTATGTTTCGCTTGGCTTGTTCTTCATTTGAATCGAAAATGTGATTAGGCGAGATCACAATAAATAAATTATCGATTGGAATTACAACTTGAATTCGTGTTATTTATTGATTCAATTCTGAATGTTCATCAATCTAAATCTGAGACTTCCAATCTGTGACTATAACTTCCCTTGGGTATGATCTGTTAATTTGCTTTCCAGCACTTATATCTCCAAGTTGTGTCACCATTGGCAAAATGTTCATATTTTACACATTAAAATCTATTTCCAGACAAAGGCGTAAACAGAGCTGGACTGAATCACTGAGTAGCTGGATTTGGAGTCCCTCGTATGATAAGATTACAGAAGAAGAAAGACATGCTGAGCTTTGTTATGCTGAGTGCTTGCTACAAAGAGCATTACTGACATTCATTCAGGTATACTGGCTCTATTTTCCCTAGCAAATATAGTCTGTCTTGTAATAAATTGCTTATAAATACCTATTGATATAATTGCGAATTATATTTATATTTTTTTTCTCTTGTGATTACCTTTAATTATCAGAATGTTTAACAATATTGTTAGGGCGAGTGGACTGTGAGCTGATAGCTATCAGTCCGTAAGCCACGAGGTCTTATTGTTTTAGTTAGTATTACCATACTATTTTGACAAAAAAAATGAACGCAAAAAATATGTAAAAAATAACCAAATGTTTTATTGCTAACAGGAAACACATTGCAGAAAAACGGAAATAGTGCCGTGTACAAATTTTATTTGAAATCAGCTACATGTACAGTAGGCAGTTGATTGGCTAATTGCAATTTAATGGGAAAAAAAACTTTTTAAAAACCAGTGAAAAATTAATTTATTTAGCATATTATTGGCAAAGAAGTTGAAGAAAATTTGAATGTGATGTTTATGATAAAATGTTTTCAATTACTTCGACTATTATAATTTCAGTTATTATTAATTTATGGGTTAGAGACTCAGACTGAAATTCGCTTTGTGCAGTATTGACAATTTTCTCGTTCATTTCACAGCAAGCGCGTGCGTGTATTTGTAATTATAAAATTTTTGATATATAACGCGCGCTTTGATTGGCTGACGACCGTGTCTATATCAGAGGACAGAGACACGGCTTACCGGCAAAATTTTCTTTTCGCTCGAAAAATTTTATTTCGGCTCGAATCTTTATACCTGATAAAACACGATCTCGAGTGTTTTAAACGGCTTAAAAAACTCCAACACTAATTTGAAACTCAAATCCGTTAAAATTCTTGGAGAAATTGCCGTACAAATATATTCAGAGATAAATGGGGCAAACTGATCATGCGCGAATCACTTTACAAAGCACTCTTGTCATCCCACATTGAATACGCATAAAGTAAAATAGAACCGCTCTTGANAAGAATACTAATAAGGAGTGTTTTATCAGATATAAAGGTCCATGCATGTGACCAAATAGGCTCATTCTATTGGCCTAGTAGCTCATTAATTATGTATGAGTTTTTTAAAAAAGAAATATAAAACGGCCGCTTGTGTCTCTGTCTTCTGATATAAACACGGTGGGAGTTAAAAAACACTCGAGAAGCAAGATAAACACTCGCTACGCTCGTGTTCCTAAGCTTGCTTCTCTCGTGTTTTTCGAACTCCCACCGTGTTTATATCAGAGGACAGAGACACGCGCGCCGTTTTATATTTCTTAAATAAACCACTCATTTCAGTCTCTAACCCTTTTATATTCAATCTGAGTTCAATGAAATACAAAACCTTTTAATAATCAAACCTTTTAGATCTTTGAAATGCAAAACTATTATATGAGACAATGTTCAAGGGTAACTGCAAACTATCGTTAATCTTCCTTTACAGTGAGTGTAATCGTAAAATGAAAAATTACAATTTACAAAATTTGCATCACCAACGTTGAGTACATCGCATTGTTTGTTGCAAATCAGTATTCGTTTCATGGAAAATCAGCATTCAACTTGGCAATGGTTAACATTTTATTTGAAATACCAACATTTGACTTTGCAAAGCTCAACATTCAACTTCGCAATTCAAATAAATTAGGACGAGATCAACATTCAAGTCCAGAACTGTCTGAACACATTTCTATTCAAATTAATGCTTTTTCTGTGTATTTGTATATTTACATGGTCGATTGTCTGTGGAAATTCGAAGTTCGGTGTTGAGATTTTTCAACTTGAATGTCGAGTTCTCAGCCGCGTACCAAGTCCGCCAAAAAGAAAAACGATACCTCTGGGGGAGGGGGGTTGGTTAAGAGCCACTTCGGGTAAAAATCATCAGACATTTCTTGGCAAGGCTCGAAAAACCAAATCTATTTATATTTTGTTGGTTTATATTCAAGTTGAATGTTGATTTTCCATGTAACGAATACTGATTTGCAACTTCAATGCTTGAACTTTGCAAAGTCAAATGTTGAAATGCGAAGTTGAAGTCGAATGTTGCGCTTTGAAAATTGATTTTTGGCGGGGATTGTACCCAATAAATCATCTGTTGTTGGTTTTTGAATCCAGACGGTGGTCAATTTTACCAAATTTTGTGTATCTTCGATTGCGAATAATTCCGCAACCAAATCCTCTACAATCCTAAATTTTTGTCAAACTATGTAGTTTTTTTATGCTCTAAAAAGACATGAATGTCATATTTTAATGCGAGTAACTGAAACCCAAGAATAATCTTCTTCCACACTTGCAAACCTACCAGAGTCGGCCATTTTGATGACAGTCGTTGTGTGATAGCATGATGTATTCTCATTAGTGCACGGTCACTAGGTGATGACGTGACGTATCACAAAATCACATGATTGATTTAAGCCAATTGCGCGCAAGGATTTAGTACATTGAATGAAGATTGAATACAGCCTTTTGCAAAAATTATGAGAATTGTCTAAATATCTAAATATCATAATATCCATATCCATATATAATTGTCCGGAACACGCGGGTTTGCTAGAATAATTCATTGTTGATATCGAGAAAATGCTCAGAACTACGAATAAGTCCGTCGCCAAAAAAAACTAAACAACGAAGACAAGGGACTAAGGGCATCGCGCGGGATCATGCACTTGATATTATGATATTTAGATATCTCAACAATTCTCATAATTTTTGCAAAAGGCTGTATTAAAACATATTTCTATATTATGATATATTACGTAGAAGATTTCATCATACAGCCTTTTGCAAAAATTATGAGAATTGTCTAAATATCTAAATATCATAATATCCATATCCATATATTGTCTGGAACACGAGGGTTTGCTAGAATAATTCATTGTTGACATTGAGAAATTGTTCAGAACTACGGATAAGTCTGTCGACAAAAAAAAAAAAAAAAAAAAAAAAACTACAAAGACAAGGGACTAAGGGCATCGCACAGGATTACCCATCATACACTTGATATTATGATATTTAGGTATTTCAACAATTCTCATAATTTTTGCAAAAGGCTGTAAAACTAAAAAAGTGCTCAATGACAATATAAAAGCCGGAGCTGTATAAAATAGAAGATTTCAGAACAAACTACTGTTTTTCCATGATGTAATATTCACTACAATTTTGTTATGTATGGTCCAGAGGACCACACTCGTCAGGTGAAACCATTACATGACCATTAAACATATCTAAAGGTTTACATTCAAACTTGTACTTAATGTAAACCTTTATATATTATTATAATTATAATTGATAGTTCATGTTGGAATGAATTCTGTATTCATTTAGACAGTTACTATTAAAATGTGCCAGGGAATCTCATTTTTTGAAATCTGTTAAAAAAATTCCAAACAGGATGAAAATTTGATCAGTTTTATCCGAGGTGCACTAAAGATAAAGGCTTGTTACCACTCTTACAAGTAAGTATTAATAGATTTATTTTATATAGTCTGCATAGTATCAAAGGCCCAGTTTGCACCATTGTGCTTTGCGCACCTCTGTTATTGTTACGATTTTAGATTAAAAATACTGCTAGTGTCCAAATATCACCATAAAATGAATGTCTTATGGTTGAAACTGTTTGTGTCATTGTATTTAGCCTTTCCGTTGCTTCTTGACAATTAGCGTTGAAAGTGTTTAGAAAATTGAGATGGTCAAGGTATGAGCGGATTCAAAACGCATAGTACAGTTCAATATAGACTTTGGGTAAACTGAAAATGGCCGCCGCCAAGCCCTCGCGGCCCTCAAAGCATAATGGTGGGCCTTTAAGTCACTTGAATAAAACCCAATGCAGACAGCTGTAAAAATACCTTATATACCTCATACCTTATATACCTTATTATGCAAAGAACTTCAAATCAACGATGTTTTAACATCGTTGTGATCGTCACTATTGATAATGGTCTTCTCCTTACATTTTGTATTAATATCGTCATCGAAAATATCTGGTAATAATTTAAAAGTCTCAAAACTCAATATGTCCGGGTTGTAAGGTATCAAAGTTGTTCCATGAATTTGAAACCATGAGCAAGTCTCCCTCTAGCTGTATAGACGGCCTCAACAAAAAGTCCCAACATATTTCTCTATTTACATGGTATATTCCAATTCCATATTTTTAGGAACTCAAAAGATTTTGTTGTTCTTTCCTCACACCAGAAATAATATCCATGGACACAAAGTTACACCTTGTTCTCAATCCGAAATTCAAAATGGCTGCCTACCCATCAAATGATTCTATTCAATCTACTAACCAATCAAGGATAAGCTAAAATTGAGGTTTTTCCAATGTGTTTGTGTATGCGCGCATGTGTGTGACTGCAGAATTAATGTACAGGGATGTTCTGCCAAAAATGGTATGGTGTCAGTTAATATACAATTCAGTTGTTTTCAATCGGGTTGTACACTGATTTTCCATGTCTTATACAGTGTGTCAATATTCATCTTTGGTATATATAAACTAAGTCAAAATGAAAAAAAGTAAATTAGAACTTAAGTATAAGGAGATTTTGGTTTCTACATTTCAACATAAAAGTGAGTTTTGGGATTGCTTTTGAACTCAATGAAGATTGTAGGTTTTAATATTGATGTAGATATAAAAGTTTGTTCCTGATTGGTTTATATAAATATAGTCAATTTGTTGGTCAATTTAACCGTTGCAATTGAACTTATGAATTAAGGACATTTTCAGCTCCAACAGAGTTCTTGCTTGTTAAACAGTACTTTTGGCCAGGGATATTATTGCTGGGAAGTGAGGAATGAACAACAGAAGATCATGGATGGGCCAATGGCTACAATCACTGTTCTGTCCGTACTTTTACGCTATTAGATCTTCAATCAGCAATAAGGGGCTTTCATTTATTAGCTCATGGGGGGGAGGGGTCGGTAGAATTGAGGGGGGCTGATAATTTTGAAATCATTGTCGGTGGGGGGGGGGGGGGGGGGGGGTAGGGTTAAACGTGTTTACACTTGTTACGCAGGAAGGTCTTATTATCTTAGTCTTTTAATAGGGGGGTTGTGTTTTGATTATTAATATGCTTGGGGTCGCTGGGGGTGGCAATATAATGTTTGCAGACAGATGTATAACATTTTGCCAGATCCCCCCATGAGCTAATAAATGAAAGACCCCTAAGGTAAACTGCTGAGCAATAACACTTTTAAATGTTTGTCGTAATTTTACAATTATTATAAAATTGCTTATTTATTTCAATTAACTCTTAGTCTAAAATAATTTTTATTTCAGAACATGTCATAGCATGGCTACCAACCAATCACATGACCTTGCTAAGTCACCACAAAGGCAAGACTTTGAAGGTGGTGTTCATCTTGGTATTGGCAGTTTTAATCTGGTTAGTTCATTGTCAATGGATATAGAAGTGGCTCTCTCCTCGCAGGCGTAACAAACTCCAGGACCTCTTGTTACTGAGAGGTTGGCCTATTGTGCGTGTGGGCTGTACTGTGAAGCATTTGGCTTTGGTTCTGCAGTGTTGTTTTGAAAGAACGATGCAGTCCCTGTAAGCCGCCAGTGAAACGTTTTGCACTTTTTGCCACTCTGGCTCGCTTCGGCACAATAGTTTTTCTTCTCATCATTGTCATCAGAAGCTAGGTTGTGGTGCTTAAAGTTGAGCACTGTCTTCCAGCAGTACTGGGATTTGTCAGCAAGGAGGATTAATTTCTGTCTTTCCCATAGTCTTTTTCCAGGTCTTTTACAATGACTGCTGCTTGTGCATCATCGATGACTTGTTTGTTTTGTTGCTCTTCTTTTTGAACATAGGCTGGCTTTCCCATGGGATCTTCTTTATCTGTTGAAGTTGTTAAGTCAAATGATTCTGCATTTGATCTCTTGAGATCTCTCACAGACTGAGGCAGCTTTTTGTCACATTTGGTCCATAGATCTCATTCTGGCTGGCTTGAACAATTTCTCTAACTCTGTCTTCGTCCATTTTGTTAAACCGAGCTTGACTTGTGTTGCTGACCTTAGACGACATTCTCACTCTTTTAACCTACTTATACTCTGTTTTCCCTAATTATATAATATAATTATATATGAAGTGACGTCAAAGAAGGTTTCATGAGATATAAGAACTTTGAAGGAGTCGCTTAAAAATGGTTTCATGACATTAAATTTATCGTAGACAATGTAGGGAATAACCATATTCCCAGTTGGCGTTCATGAAAACACTTTTGAGCGATTCTTTCAAAGTTCGTATATTTGATGAAGCCTTCCCTTGACGTCACATCATTAGCATTTTCAATTTTCAAATGACTTTAACTCAATAAATAAAATTCGAAAAACATTTTTTTCTTCAAAACAATGATTAGCATCAAATTTGCCTTTTGTTAAACATGATTTTCTAAAATGGTTCATATGCACTTTAAATTCTTTTTTCAGCTTTTATCTTTACTTCCAACAAGAATTCTCAAAATCTTAGAGTACATTGGATTTTCGGGTGATAAGGTAATGTAGCTGCTTTAATATAATGAAGTAATATTCTGCGTAGATGCTCTAGATTAGGGGGATGTGGGAGGTCATGAGGAGAAAAACAAGATCCTTTTAGCTCTGAACACCTAAAGCATTAAACTTCTTCTTGCAATCACTTTAAAGTCTACATTCAACTCATTGAGCCAATAAGAGCTTAACGGAAATGGTCCGTTATTAGGTAATTTCGCCGCCAATATATATAGTACAATATTATCACTACCTACAATACACATGAATATACAATGAGATATGGGCAGGTCTGAAAWKACTGCTGGCCACGAAAGTGGACAGCGGTATATCCATGAGTGTTATAGGTTCCACGCCATGTCGGGGGTAGGGTGGGTGGGGGAATTAAACAAGTATGTGTCCGTGGTTTGAATCGGAATGAACAAGGCGTGCAGATCACGCTCATTTATACACTGCAAGGCATTGTGGGATATCTATTGTTATGCTAATTTCATGCTTTATTTCCGGTAGTGAAAATAGCACTTTATAGTTTGTGCATTTGACCATTTACTTTTGCATTATGTTGGCTTCACAAATATTCGTTACAATCCCTAGGATCAACACGTGGTGATCCTAGCAATTGTAACGATCAAATGGAAACCAGGCTTAAGTCTTCGTCTTCATGTTCGAGGTGCGTTGATGGCAGCGATGGCCCGTAAGTGTTCTCGTGCATTTGTTCTTCCGGCCTCGAAGTCGTCCTAGTGTGAAAAGATGCTGTCATCTCGGTCTTTGTATTTTTTCCTTTGGATCCGCGACAACAGTCTGGCATTGACAAGTCTCAGCTGAATTTGAACCAAGCTGGACTCTTGATGAAGCAATTTAATTAGGTTGTACAGTGGAAGGTTGGTCTCTCCATTGGCACGGTGATGGAGAGCGTGATGCCATCCCTCGGTGTTGTTATTGGTGCGTGTTGCACGCTTGAACACGCACCAGGAAGAGGAAGGACAGGCTGACCACTCCATCCAGCTTGCCCTGAAGTAGGAAGTCAGGCTAAATGAGGCTAGTCAGCAGACTCGTAACATGGTATATCTAGGATCTAGTGAGCCCTATTTTTTGGTGAAAATATTGATCCCTGAGCCCGATTCTCACCAAATGTTTGATCCCTGAGCCCGTGCAAACATTTTGAGCCCATTTAAGTTGTTTACTCAAGAATTGCTTTGAATAGTGTTCAAAAGATCTTAGCTAAAACCGAAGGAGGTCTCCTTATACAGTATGACAAAATAATATACATAATAACACAAGTAGTGTCATGGCTCGAATTAGGAGGAATTGAATCAGGGTCTGAATGGGGTTAACTGTTAACTGAGAAACGGCTAAAATAATAACTGTTAACTGAGAATTTCGGCTTTATTTAGCTGATAACTGATATTAACAAGATAACTGTTAGCTGATATTCCTTTGTTTGCACATGTTTTGCATGTCAGTGAACCTTGTTTCCAGGGCTTCTCTGTTGTTGTTGTTGTTGTTTTTCAAAAATGGCAGTCACGTGACACCGACTCTCATTGGATGTTTAGTTTGAAATAACGCTGAATGAAGGCGCCAAAAAAGATACGACCCCGAAGACAATTCCTTCGCTTTGCATGTGCTGCCACACACTCTGGCAGGTACCAACGCTTCGTGCGAACGATCAAAAATGCCTTTTTTCGTTGTTAAGTCACGCAAAATTTCCATAAAATGAATGCATTATGTGTCTTCACGATTCTCTCAAAATGCTGGAAATCGCATTTCCAAGGATTAAAAATCCAACATTTTCTGGGTGGAATGCCCCCGTACCCCCCTAAAAAGTCGCGCCTTCAGTGCTCATCAGCCTCCCACATAATCAACCGCTCCCGGCGCCATCTATCATCGTTATCAATGGTGAAAGTATTAGTTTACTACCATAGAAAAGGGGAGGAGGTATACTTAGAGAGTTATCGGAGTTACAATATTGACTACAGTGTTCAGAGCTCAGTATTAAAGCTGAAGAACCATTTGGGGAACTTTCTTAGCCTGAAAGAACACTGGTAAAACGTACTTTTCTTAATAACTGAATATTTAGTTGTTAATCATTACACAAAAATAATATTTAACATGTGGCTTAACTGAGAACCGAGAATTTTAACTGATAACTGAGAAAATTGCCAAAAGCTTTTTTTACCTCGTTTGATGGCAACGCAGGAAAATTTAGAAGAAAAGAAAGACTTAATTTTCAGATATTCCAGAACGACCACGCCACCTAAAGATGGGATCGAATTACCTGACTGCACGGAACATGTGCACGAACCTCATCGGTATTCGGAACTACTTCGGAAACGATGTTTTNTTTAGCTGATAACTGATATTAACAAGATAACAGTTAGCTGATATTCCTTTCTTTGCACATGTTTTGCATGTAAGTGAACCTTGTTTCCAGGGCTTCTCTGTTGTTGTTGTTGTTGTTTTTCAAAAATGGCAGTCACGTGACACCGACTCTCATTGGATGTTTAGTTTGGAATAACGCTGAATGCAGGCGCCAAAAAAGATACGACCCCGAAGACAATTCCTTCGCTTTGCATGTGCTGGCACACACTCTGGCAGGTACCACCGCTTCGTGCGAATGATCAAAAATGCCTTTCTTCGTTGTTAAGTCACGCAAAATGTCCATAAAATGAATGCATTATGTGTCTTCTCGATTCTCTCAAAATGCTGGAAATCGCATTTCCAAGGATTAAAAATCCAACATTTTCTGGGTGGAATGCCCCCGTACCCCCCTAAAAAGTCGCGCCTTCAGCGCTCATCAGCCTCCCACATAATCAAACGCTCCCGGCGCCATCTATCATCGTTATCAATGGTGAAAGTATTAGTTTACTACCATAGAAAAGGGGAGGAGGTATACTTAGAGAGTTATCGGAGTTCCAATATTGACTACAGTGTTCAGAGCTCAGTATTAAAGCTGAAGAACCATTTGGGGAACTTTCTTAGCCTGAAAGAACACTGTTAAAACGTACTTTTCTTAATAACGGAATATTTAGTTGTTAATCATTACACAAAAATAATATTTAACATGTGGCTTAACTGAGAACCGAGAATTTTAACTGATAACTGAGAAAATTGCCAAAAGCTTTTTTTACCTCGTTTGATGGCAACGCAGGAAAATTTAGAAGAAAAGAAAGACTTAATTTTCAGATATTCCAGAACGACCACGCCACCTAAAGATGGGATCGAATTACCTGACTGCACGGAACATGTGCACGAACCTCATCGGTATTCGGAACTACTTCGGAAACGATGTTTTCCCGAATATTGCGCAGTTTAAATTAGTGCTTTTTAGATACTTCTTTCACAGAAAAATTAAAAAGATTTTAACTCAAATTAAATGCATTATTACTATAGTATCCCGATTTTTTTCTCTGAGCCGTGAGCCTAACACTTTGAGCCCAGAGCCCAACCAGGATTTCGGAATTGAGCCCGGCCATTTGACCAATGAGCCCTGAGCCCATATACCATGTTACGAGTCTGTAGTCAGGGCAGGTGTTGCTACTCTTGACTCAAGTTCCTCGAATTGTTCCCAGATGTCGTGCTTTCTTAGTAGCTTTCTTTCAAATATGTGGACGCGGTTAACTTCTTGGTATGCCACTTGCAGGCCGAGCTTTTGTAGTTTCCGGAATACAGCTTGGGTGAAATGGAATATGCAGACATGCATTTTAACGTGGGGAAGAACGGCATGGCACACTTTCCAAGTCGCTTTCTGGAAGTCTGCTGTCTGCCTCCAATCAGAAACATGCAGAACAGAACAATCAAAACCGATCGGAATGCTGCATGTTTTTACTAGAATAGTAATATTTCATTTATTGATTAGGAAGTAAAAGCAACTGTTAATTACACGTTTTGCTGCAGTAAGAAATTAAACAGTTCTTTCGTGACAATAAAAGTGTTACTGACAAAGTAAAAGCAAGGTGGTCCAAGATGCATTCCGTCATCATACTTGCATAGCGGCGTTGAACAGACAACTCGGTTTCGATTCTCGACTCGAGCAGCTTCTAAACAATTTTTCTTTTTTTCTTTAAATATACTCGTTCTTTTCTTCTTTCTAAAATGCAAAGAAAACTTTCATCTTATATAAATTCTCTGAGGATAATGTGAATGAAATCTGATTGCTAAATTTTCGCTGCAATGATAAAAATATTAAAAAAAAAATGATGCGGAAAGATCGCAAAATTTATCAAATCGATCGCGGTGCTGGTAAAAATATTTGTTATATTGGTAAATTATTTTCACTGTTTTCTCTCTCTCTTATTGGACGATTCAGTGTCACGTGTCCGGAGCTAAAATCAACTGTTGACTGATTGGTCAACAGTTTGACGATTGTTGACCGCTTGGTCATCGGCGGGAAAAGGCCGCCTTGCGTCGAGTAAAAGTTTGTAAAGGCGGGAATGGTTTTTGCTGCTTTCGACTGTTTACAAAATGGAGCCGGCATCAAAACAGATTTTCAAATCTCAGTCAAGAAATAGACGAAATGGTTGTCAACAAAGACTTGGAAAACACTAACAAAGCTACAAAGACTGCTTTGGCTACGACTCTGATAGAATTCTGCAGAGAAACCAAGAGAGAAACGGTGAATTTGGACAAATGTCACGTTAAATTTCTATTCAGGAACTCATTGACTGTTTCATTCATAAAGTTTTGCTAGTTTTTTGGCATTTGTGCGACGGTCAAATATTATATTTACATCAAAGTATTATTCATGATTATTGAGAATCATATAATGTGTTTTGATTTTTTTTATTCACATAAGTTAATTTACTTAAGGCCGTGTCACACTGGCGTTTTTTTCGTGCAACTTGTGTCGCGCAAAAAAATGTTGAAGTTGCACGAGCGTTTTTTTACGTGTGACACCCCCTCATGCAACTTGAACATTTCATTTTTTTGTTGAGAGAAAAGTAGAACTGGCTTCTACTTTTTTCAACATTTTTCGGAAAAACGCGTGTGTGACATGGTCTCTTGCAACTTCCAAAATTTTCAATTAGGCGCACAAACCCAAAAGAAAGCGAGAATCTGTCCTGATGTCACTTATTGTAATAATCAACAAAGATGCCTGACGCCATCTTTGGCGAAAGCGAWAATTTTGAAGCAGAAAACGAGACAGAAAGTGAGGTGATCGTACATTTTCAATTTACTCGTGCAACTTGAACATTTTTTTGCGCGAGCTAAGTTGCAACGGAATTTTGCTAGTGTGACATGGCATYVTGCAAYTTCAACATTTTTTTGCGCGACACAAGTTGCACGAAAAAAACGCCAGTGTGACACGGCCTTTAATGACTGCGTACTTCGGGAAACATTGACTTCTCGGGAAACAAAACTAAAAAGTTTAAATTTAATTTTGTTGAGTGCATGTTATTGAAAATACTCTAACTTGTTATTATCATGATTTTTTGAACATGCATAACTATTAATAAAATGTATTATTAATAATATAATTTGTTGTTGAAAAGGCTCTTGGCTTAGATCACTTGGATAAAGGTTGTCAAAGTCAAAGCTTGAGGTCACCAATGTGTGCAATGATATTGCTGGCTCATCACAGTGTAATCTCCTACTATTTGGGTAAGTTTATTATGTTTAGTAGTAGCATCAAAAGATTATATTGTTAAACATTAATGTTTAAAATAAAAGCTGATGGTAATTCTATAATTTAGGGTGTCATTTTGCACAAAGACTGTTTGCACAAGTTGTTTTGAACAACTTGTTTGTTAGATCAAGTGAACTTGTTTGTTGTTATGGGAGAATAGTCTTCTGTGTACAAAATGTATTCCTATTTAGATATGGTAGACTTTGTGGGTGATCATACACGGCCAATAAATATAGAAAAATAGATTCCACTGGTAAAAATACAAACTATAACTCTCGTATCTGTTCAAATTTAATCAACCTCGTTCCCAGGGCTACTCTGCTCGCTTTTTTCAAAATGGCGGACAGAGATTAGCCCTGGCATTGGCCGGTCACGTGACACCCACTCTCAGTGGGTGTTTAGTGTGGATTACCGCTGAATGCAGGCGCTATTTGGTTTTGGAAAATTATAATGTTCGGAGAGCAACATTTGACTTTTTTCAACTTTTCAAAACATTCTGAAAAGCTAATTTTCACACGTTTTTAATGCAATCTGGAAGATTCCCGCCAATTTCATTAGATTCCGATCCGTGTTTGAATGCACGTCCAGAAAAACTTGTTCATCAAAGAAAGAGAAGGAAAAACTAAGTCATTTTTGAGGGTTTGTCAATCCAGTTTAGCAAACTGTGGCCCTAAAAGAAACAGTCTTGACTACCTTTTCGCTTCAAGTGATTGACAACAAGGAGTTAAAGACATGTTAAAGATCAAGAGGAAAAAACAGTAGATTTGTGAACTCTCTTTTTGAATTGTCGAGTAGTAAGTTAACCTTGGTTATGGATTCGTCGAAGACCAAAGCAGCTGTATAAAAACTCAAGAGATATCGACTCAAATCATCGAGATGACTGAAAACAGGAATTTGAATTCGCTTAGGCTGCTGAAGACTGTGTGGCAAATTGTTCAAATTTATAAGGTAACTTTACTTACTGTAAAAGAAAATGTCAATGTTTGTTGAAGAAGTTCAAACATGTCAATTGATCTCTTTTTAGTCCTTTTTCATGGCTTATCTCGCTGATATATCTACAAATCTATCTAGAAAGTCTAGAAAGTTTTAAAACGCCAATTCATCTAAGCTAGAAGGTACTAAACCATAAGATTTTTGAAAGTTTTATTTTTAAAGTTTGAAAAACATTTTGCAAAAATACCGGCTAGGCATCTTGCTGAGTCAATTGTACTTTGAACTCTATCGCGCAAATTTAAAAAGCATGCCAAAATCCTTTTTTCACAACTTATTTTCCCGCCTTGATCTAAGATATTCATCTTTGGTGAGTAATATAAGCTTAATGATAAATAAAAAAATCCGAACATAACATTTCGTGCCCACTACGAGAACGAACGGCGATCAGATGTACAAGGCGATAAAAGTACGCCAAGAATGACATGTAATTTTATTACACTTTATATATATATCATTTACAATAATTTCTAAATGGTGGTTCGTTTGAAATATTGCAAAAAATATTTTGTAATGCTATGCAAAGTCTTTTTCGCTTTCTTTTTGTCTTCAACATGATCAAACGTCTCACGAATATTCACATCTTCACTTCTACTTACTGTAATTAGACCTAGTGCATGGCGATAGACTACTTCATGTTTTTTCTTTTTGTAGTTTTAGCATCTTGTAGACGCTGAACTCAGGCATTTTAGTTTAAAAATTTCCATCAACTTTACACTTGAATTGTTTCTTCTATTTTTCTGTGTCAAAAGGTCACAACAAATGAGCAACCAATGAAAAGTGAGAAAAATCTTAGCCAATCAAAATCCATATTTGACCGGCCGATGCCAGGGCTATCTCTGGGCGCAGAGTAGCCCTGGGAACGAGGTTG